GCCAATCCTCATATCAATTCTATGATGTACTCATTTTACTGAGGAGTAAACCGAGCCACAGGGCTTATGTAGCTTACCCAAAGTCACACAGCAACGATGTTCCAGAGATAGATTTAAACCCAGTGATCTTGGTACCAAAGTCCATGCTCTTTACTACACACATACACACACATACAAAAAGAAAAACTTAAAAGCTTATTCTAAGAAATAGTAAATGCTGAATGCTAGATAGACAAAAAGGGATGTTAATTGTTATCATGTTCACAGAGTGGAAAGAAAATACATGTCTCTACAAGTCACTTGTTTATACCTATATTAGTGCCATTGTTTGAATGGTAGAAAGGCTAGAAGTTGGCAGATTCAGACTCAGAGATGACCCAGCCAACTTTTTCTGTAAAAAGATGATTGACTTTTCAGAAACACATAGAGGTTGAACCTCTGACTCATGGGAATTGAACCAAAACCTTTCAGCCTTAGTTAGGCCTTAATGCTTTTTGAAATGAAAACTTTTTTGACAATCCATCTTTATTCCTAATATCCATGCTTTGTATAGTATTAATATTGTGAATACACAGATGTTTGCATTTAGTTTATGGTAAATCTTTCCTAAACTCTTATTTGTTATGATGTAAGGAAAGTTTGATTTTTTGTTGTTGTACTTTAATTTACTGAACACATTGGAAGGTTGTTTTAAATTTTGTTTAAATGTCCTTTGAACCAAAATATTTACAGAAGAAGTTCTAGCCAGCAGATTGTTCCGTTTGTTGTGTTTGAGTGTGGAAACATCAGGAATGACAGCATATCATGATGCCATAGGAATTTTTTTTTTTTTATATAAACAACCTAATAGCATTGTCTAATGTGGTCTTTGTTGACTAAAAGTGTCACAGATACCTTTGCTATATTTAGGTAAAATCTAAGTTTCTTTACTGAAGCATGGAAAATGTTGATTGTTTTCTGGTTGGGAGGAAAGCAGTATGACTAAAAGAACTACACTGAACTGGGATCAATTATTAAGAGTCTCAATTTCAAGAAGGAAAAAATACAGTTTGGTTTTTCAAGAGTACAAAAATACTAATATATGATAACTTTTATGTAAATATTGTGTGTGCATTTCTGTCTTAGTCTATGGGCAATTAGCGAAGACTGACTTTAAGTACAGTTTTAAATGTATCATGTAAGTGAACAAATATATTTTAATTACAATTACAAGAACACTATGTGGCTGGGCATTGTGCTTTCCATATATCTATATTGTACATTCTTTTTTTTTTTTTTTTTTTTTTTGAGATGGAGTTTCACTCTGTTGCCCAGGCTGGAGTGCAGTCCCGTGACTCAGCTCACTGCAACCTCTGCCTCCCAGGTTCAAGCAATTCTCTGCCTCAGCCTCCCGAGTAGCTGGGATTACAGGCATCCACCACCACACCTGGCTAATATTTGTATTTTTAGTAGAGATGGGGTTTCACCATCTTGGCCAGGCTGGTCTTGAACTCCTGACCTCAGGTGAGCCATCCACCTTGGCCTCCCAAAGTGCTGGGATGACAGGCATGAGCCACCGCGCTTGGCCTACATTATATATTCTAAGAGTGTACATCTTATTAACTGTTAGTTTAAGAAATACATAACAGCTTTGAAGAAGCAAGTAGATATTGAAGTCAATATGGGCTGAAGTTGTCGTAGGTATGAATGAGCCCAGTATTTGTGACAATAGAGAAAAATTTCTTCAGAGTTTAAGAATATTTGTGTTGAAGAGTAGAATGGGTGGCTAGGATTTGAAGAGGTAGAATATAAGTAGACTATGAAGGGCTTTAATGTCAAAGTCACTATTTTAGATTTAATCTAATGGGAATGACACACATATACATGTAATATATATATATAAAATTGCATGTTCTTAATGAGAAAAATGAAGCTCTTCTAGGAATACTTAAAATACTCTTAATAGTTAGGGAATACTTTCCTTTTGTCTAAAGATGTACATATAAAAATGAAATAATTCCTTAAAGTACTTAAAAATAATAGTGACAGCCAGGTGAATATGATAAAGATTATTCACAAAAATCTTCCTTCTCCATTGCTTTAAAAACAATAGAAAACAAGCAAAATTAACAGTAATCAAACAAACATGAGGGGCCCACTTAATGCAGACGTTTTTAAAAGTAACAGTAAAGAAAGTAAGTGCAGATGATAATCAGGCTGATGTCTTCTAAACCCTTCCCGTGGATCTCCCAGACCTTGTAATGGGGGCAAAAATTATTTCATTAAGATAACTCAAGGAACCTAAAACTTTTACCGCTTTTGTTAAAAAAAAAATTGCTCCAAAACAACCCACTACTTGTACATATTCATCTAATGATGTGAATTAAATGAAAAATTTAGAATTGGGGGAAATTTTAAGTCACTTTCCTTGAAGCTAGATAATGTCTAATGTTAATTATGGCCACAAAATAGAATAAGAATCTAATAAACATTTTAGATTTAAAACAACATGATTGACCAGACCTAGGCTATGGGTAGAACTTAAAATGTGCTCTCTCCTTCTCTCACAGAAGGAAGTCAGTGAATACTGACTTATAAAAAGAAGTGAGTTATTAAGAGTATAGTGTCTATCCTGCCCATAGCATCTCTTCTTAACCTTTAGAAATTATACTTCCTGGAAATGAATTATCTGAAGTTTAGCAATACTTTTGGTTTTACTGCATTTGGTTTGCATTCACTAAAATTACATAATTTAAAATGACATGCATATTATTCCATTTTAATAAAACATTCATGCTTTTAGTCCTTCATTTGTCTTTCCTGGTGACTACATATATTATTCATAGAGAATTGTTGGAATGATACTTACCTTTCAGAGTAATTATTTCTATGTAGTATTTTTTGATGAGTTTTATTTTTAAAGAACTTTTCCACATTGTTCGTTCTAAAAACATATACTATTTTCTTGACACAAGATATTTTTCTTTAAAAAACTGGTGGCAAAGTTTTGTTTGTTGTTAACATTATTAAGCATTTGCTAGTGGTAAAAACATGAATGTTTCTGTCCTCAAAGATCCCAAACTCTGTCCTGAAGAAATTTATTTTAATACTTCAACAACAACAACAAAAAAAACTGAATCAGAATCTCCCTCATGTTCTCATTCTCTGCATGAAGAAGGAAACTTTAAGATTTTTTTTTTTTGGTGAATTCTGAATTCACTTGTGCATCTTTGCTGAAGTTAAGATCTGGTGATATGGTTGCCTTATTTCATATCTGTGAAGTCAGAAACTTGGCAGGATGTGAAACTATATCTTACTTGCATGCAAGTAAGTCAACCTGACACAGTATCATAGATACTGGTGGAAGATCTGAGACTACAGGGTCAGAGAAAAGACCATTTATTACAACCACAGCAGTAGCAAGAACAAAAATGTAGCACTTGGTTTTTTCTGAATTCCAATTTCCATGGAGAGATGCAATTAGGGTTAGTTGTTGCTAGGCAGTAGGGTTCTTTAAAAAGAACCTTGATAGTAGGAAACCCTGGCCTTATACAGGCAAATCAGCCCATCTGCTCCTCAAGAGATAACTCTGGAATGCCAAGTAAGCCTAATCCAGGGAGAGAGATGTCCCTATTTTACTGGAAAATAAATCTGTTCTAGGAAGAAATATCTCTGTTTCTGCAATTTGTACAAATATACTTGCAAAGAAAGTATGGAACAAGTTAGCTGTTAATGCCTTTGAAAATGTTTGAATACGTGAGAGACTTTTGAAAAATTGTCTCCCTGTAATATCTAGATGTTACCACTTTATCAAACTTACTATTGCAGAATGGATACTGGTTTCTTTTTTATTGTAGTGTTAATATATTGTTGATGACTATGGACTTTTTGGCTTTTTTCTTAATCTTTGAGCTTTAAGCTCAATACAAATTTTAAACTGAACTGAAATTTTAAAAATTTAATAGCCTACTTATTTCTAGAGCAAAGCTAAGGCCTTGCAAACTTTCTTTTCTCATTCTCCAGTATTTTGTCAAAATTATAGCAAATTAAGCTACTAAACACATAATGTAGAGTTACAGAGTTTGATGTTTTACTAAGGAACAGCATTTTATTATTTTTAGAACTATGAAATGTAAAGCATTCTAAATGTAATACCAGTAAGAATCACTGAAATGTGATTTCCTGTGGAATTATTATAGCAAAGATATCACAGATCCCATGTCTAGTAATTCTTAAGTTTTTGTTCATATTGTTAGAAAAATCTTAAAAGAAGCTAATTAGAATATTATCTTAATTAGAATATTAAGCTTAATTAGAATATTAAGCTATATGGAATATATTAAGCTATATGGAATATTAAGCTATATGGAATATATTAAGCTATATGGAATATTAAGCTATATGGAATAAAAATATCTTACTAGGAAAGTTTGCATAATATGTGTGTTCTTTTCTAAATCTAATCTAATCTGGGACTACTTATAGCAGTAGAAGTAAGTTCCCCAACAGTTTTAGGAATAATCTGTATAGTTTAAGTCTTATTTCTCTCTCACTTATATTGTTGTGATGATTTCTTACTGCTTTTCCCATTTCTAGTTATTTCCGGTTTAGTGAAGTCTATTCCCTGTATTAAAACTGTGTTATTTAATGTGCTTCCAGATGCCTGCAATCATCTCTGCAACCTTTCTCTTTTAGTCCTTCAACATGCTCTTCAATATTTATTTGTATAAGATAAACCAGACTACTAGCCTGTTCCAGAATATATTCTGTGTATGTCTACATTTTTTTCCTATGTGAAACAATTTTCTATATCGTTATTTGCTAAAATATGCATTATTCATAGCATAGTTCAAATGACGTTTTCTTGATAGCCTGATGAACTTCAGCATGTATTAATTTTTAAAAAAAATACATGGTTCTTGACTTTATGTGCCTCTCTTCTAGCAATTATGTGTTCCTTTGTAACAAAGATGTTTATGTTTGGTCTAATTTGTGAATTCATTTCTGTTTTTTCCTACTAGCATGTAAAAGTCACATCTGAGGCTCTCTGTCATGCTGGCAGACATCTTCAGCAAATCATCTTAGATCAATGCTACAATTTTGTTTGCGTGAATGTAAGTCAATTCAAATGATTGAAAGCACTTAAGGATATGAGCAAATGTAATGTGAAAGAGAACTCATTTGATTCTTAAATATTTATATATGAGATTATGATGAGTTCTTTTACATGTTTTTGGAGATTTTATCTTTGAAAGAGAAATAATACTTTTAACAAGCTGATTCTCATAATGAGAAGAGTGGTATTTTGGACAATATTTTCAATTTTCTATTTGTACCTGGCCCAAAGTAGATAATAAGAGACAGGTTTGACTCAATTAGTAGATCAAAATTTGACATGCATAACTTTATGGATATCCTTTAAAATTGTTTCTAAATTAAAAACTAAGCTTGATAAATATTTTGAATGTTATGCAGAATCTCTCCATTTATTTCTTGAATTAACTTTTAAGTCATTTAAAAAGTCTTCTCGTATCGTTTTATTTTTCTCGTCTTTTAGGTTATGACCTCTGATTTTCAAGAAACCCAGAAGTTACTGAGCATGCTTGAAGAGAGTAATCTTTCCATTTTATATCCTGTTGTTGTTGTTTCAGTAAGTGAAATTAATGCAGATTTTTCTCACTTATGCTTCCTTCTTTGTAACTCAATGTACATACTTTTAAAAACTCATCCAGTTGAGAGCACTGACCCAAACTCAAAAGAAACTCTTCTTTGTGGATTCTTCTGCTTACTGCCTAGCTATGACTTCTATGACTGAATGCCTTTATTATTGCAATCATTTGGTTGCACTCACAGGTTTGGAAATCATTTTCAACCCAGCAACCAATTTCATTTTTTTTTTCCTTCACTAAAATGGCAAAGTATTCAGCTTAAGTCAACTGGTTGTTTTGATAATGTAAAACAGCTTTATTTAAAATATTATCAGAATAGGCTGGGCGGGGTGGCTCACGCTTGTAGTCCCAGCACTTTGGGAGGCTGAGGTGGGCGGATCACGAAGTCAGGAGATGGAGACCATCCTGGCTAACACGGCGAAACCCCGTCTCTACTAAAAATACAAAAAATTAGCCAGGCATGGTGGTGGGCGCCTGTAGTCCCAGCTACTTGGGAGGCTGAGACAGGAGAATGGTGTGAACCCTGGAGGCAGAGCTTGGAGTGAGCCGAAATCGTGCTACTGCACCCCAGCCTGGGAGACAGCACGAGACTCCAAAGCAAAAAAAAAAAAAAAAAAAAAAATATATATATATATGTGTGTGTGTGTGTGTGTGTGTGTGTATATATATGTGTGTGTGTGTGTGTGTGTATATATGTGTGTGTATATATATGTGTGTATATATATACACACACACACACACACACACACACACACACACACACACACACACACACATATTAGGGAAGCATTCCAGATGTTAATGTGAGGAAAAAACCTAGTGGAAGAAAAGTGATTCTTGGGTTGTTTCATTTTCTCTGTTCCACCGAAAGCGAAAGTAGAATGACTAACAAATTAAAGAGAATTCCTAGAAGAATGGCCTAGGAAAATTTTGGAGAGATTTTTCCATGAAAATCTAAAAGTATGCGTTTAGTTCAGAATTTATTTGATTAGCCCATTAAACTATATAGCAGAGGGGACTATCAGTAAAGTCAGGAAGGAACAAAATCAGAGCCCAAGCCCTCTAAATTGGCTGAGGAGCGGAATCTATAGTTGGTAGTATTTTGCTGTGTGAAGGAGTTCCAGACGTTAAACTCTCAGAAGTGCCTAGCAACTTCCCAGTTCCTAAAGCTCAGGCCCATCCCATACTGTGGGAATTTAATTCTTGTCAGGTAAGATTAGTAATAAAGAATAAAGATAATTTGCAATATAAATAATTCTTGACTAAGTAATGCAAGTAGTAACAAATGAGCAACTATGGGAGATTTAATTAATTCAGTGGCCTCTTTATTTCATCATATACCATAAAGATAACTTTCATGGTTGCATCTGGTTTTGAAACCCAAGCTTCTTCTGTAACTGATCTTCATAGAACACAGAAGCTTTCATTGAGCTTTTTAGGAACAATATGGAATATATCCAATGTTGGAAGCCTCTGAGGCTCTGTAGGATAGAGGTAAGGTCAAAGCTCTATGTTTGGCCTTTTATTCCTCTCTCCACATTTCCTTGCTTAGAAATTTCATTTTCCCATGTTCCCAGATATGCTGATGAGACTGTCCAATGTAGTGAAAATAACAGAGGCTTTGAACTCAGAACACTTGTTTCTTGGTCTAGTTACTTAATTGTTCTGAGGTTTGGTTTCTTCGATGTAGAAACAAGGCTAGTAACTCCACTTCTTAAGTTGTTATAAGGATGAAAGTGAGTGGATGCAAAATGTAGTTTCTATCACAGTGCTAGGCCCTGAGCAGGCATGTGAGGTTAGTTCTGTTTAATAGTCTGGTCCTTTTTTTTTGGCTCTGGATGAGATGACTCCAAATTAACTTCCACAGCTCTAATCTGATTCCTAAGTTTCAGCCAAGTATTTCCCAACATTTTTTTTTTTTTAATTATACCTTAAATTATAACTCTAAGTTCTGAGGTACATGTGCACAACGTGCAGGTTTATTACATAGGTATACATGTGCCATGTTGGTTTGCTACACCCGTCAACCTCTCATTTACGTTCAGTATTTCTCCTAATGCTATTCCTCCCCGAGTCCCCCACCCCCTGACAGGCCCCAGTGTGTGATGTTCCCCTCCCTATGTCCATGTGTTCTTATTGCTCAACTCCCATTTATGAGGGAGAACATGTGGTGTTTGGTTTTCTGTTTTTGTGTTAGTTTGCTGAGAATGATGGTTTCCAGTTTCATGTATGTCCCTGCAAGGGATATGAACGCATCCTTTTTTATGTCTGCATAGTATTCCATGGTGTATATGTGCCACATTTTCTTTATCCAGTCTATCATTGATGGGCATTTGGGTTGGTTCCAAGTCTTTGCTATTGTGAACAGTGCTGCAATAAACATATGTGTACATGTATCTTTATTGTAGAATGATTTATAATCCTTTGGGTATATACTCAGTAATGGGATTGCTGAGTCTAATGCTATGTCTGGTTCTAGATTCTTGAGGAATCACCACACTGTCTTCCACAATGGTACCAGCAGTGTAAAAGCGTTCCAATTTCTCCACATCTTCTCCAGCATCTGTTGTTTCCTCACTTTTTAATGATTGCCATTCTAACTGGTGTGAGATGGTATCTCATTTTGCTTTTGATTTGTATTTCTCTAATGACCAGTGATGATGAGCATTTTTTCATATGTTTCTTGGCTGCATGAATGTCTTCTTTTGAGAAGTGTCTGTTCATATCCTTTGCCCATTTTTTGATGGGGTTATTTGTTTTTTTCTTCTAAATTTGTTTATGTCCCTTGTAGATTCTGGATATTTGACCTTTGTCAGATGGATAAATTGCAAACATTTTCTCCCATACTGTAGGTTGCCTATTCACTCTGATGATAGTTTTTTTTTTTTTTTTTTTTTTTTTTTTTTGCTGTGCAGAAGCTCTTTCGTTTAATTAGATCCCATTTGTCAATTTTGGCTTTTGTTGCCATTGCTTTTGGTGTTTTAATTGTGAAGACTTTGGCTATCCCTATGTCCTGAATGGTATTGCCTAGGTTTTCTTCTAGGGTTTTTATGGTTTTAGGTTTAACATTTAAGTCTTTAATCCATCTTGAGTTAATTTTTGTATAAGGTGTAAGGAAGGGATCCAGTTTTAGCTTTCTGCATATGGTTAGCCAGTTTTCCCAGCACCATTTATTAAATAGGGAATCCTTTCCTCATTGCTTGTTTTTGTCAGGTTTGTCAAAGATGAGATGGTTGTAAATGTGGGGTGTTATTTCTGAGACCTCTGTTCTGTTCCACTGGTCTATATATCTCTGTTTTGGTACCAGTACCATACTGTTTTGGTTACTGTAGCCTTGTAGTATAGTTTGAAGTCAGGTAGTGTGATGCCTCCAGCTTTGTTCTTTTTGCTTAGGATTGTCTTGGCAATGCAGGCTCGTTTTTGGTTCCATATGAACTTTGAAGTAGTTTTTTCCAATTCTGTGAAGAAAGTCAGCGGTAGCTTGATGGGGATACCATTGAATCTATAAATTACTTTGGGCAGTATGACCATTTTCACGATATTGATTCTTCCTATCCATGAGCATGGAATGTTCTTCCAATTGTTTGTGTCCTCTTTTATTTCCTTGAGCAGTGGTTTGTAGTTCTTTTTGAAGAGGTCTTTCACATGCCTTGTAATTTGGATTCCTAGGTATTTTATTCTCTGTAGCAATTGTGAATGGGAGTTAACTCATGATTTGGCTCTCCATTTGTCTGTTATTGGTTTATAGGAATGCTTTGTGATTTTTGCACATTGATTTTGTATCCTGAGACTTTGCTGAAGTTGCTTATCACTGAAGGAGATTTTGGGCTGAGACAATGGGATTTTCTAAATATACAATCATGTCATCTGCAAACAGGGACAATTTGACTTCCTCTTTTCCTAACTGAATACCCTTTATTTCTTTCTTTTGCCTGATTGCCCTGGCCAGAACTTCCAATACTATGTTGAATAGGAGTGATAAGAGGGGGCATCCTTGTCTTGTGCCAGTTTTTTTTTCCTTCCCTCCCTCCCTCCCTTCCTCTCTCCCTCCCTCCCTTCCTCTCTCCCTCCCTCCCTCCCTTCCTCTCTCCCTCCCTTCCTTCCTTCCTCTCTCCCTCCCTCCCTCTCTTCCTCCCTCTCTTCTTCCCTCTCTTCCTCCCTCTCTCCGTCCCTCTCTTCCTCTCTTCCTCTCTTCCTCTCTTTCTTATACTTTAAGTTCTAGGGTACATGTGCACAACATGCAGGTTTGTTACATATGTATACATGTGCCATATTGGTGTGCTGTACCCATTAACTCATCGTTTACATTAGGTATTTCTCCTAATGCTATCCCTCTCCCCTCCCCCCTTCCTCCTCCCCCCACTGCACTACAGGCCCCAGTGTATGATGTTCCCCACCCTTGTTCAAGTGTTCTCATTGTTCAATTCCCACCTATGAGTGAGAGCATGCGGTGTTTGGTTTTCTGTCCTTGCAGTAGTTTGCTCAGAATAATGGTTTCCAGCTTCATCCATGTCCCTACAAAGGACAAGAACTCATCTTTTTTATGGCTGCATAGTATTCCACAGTGTGTATGTGCCACATTTTCTTTATCCAGTCTATCATTGATGGACATTTGGGTTGGTTCCAAGTCTTTGCTATTGTGAATAGTGCCACAATAAACATATGTGTGCATGTTCTTTATAGTAGCATGATTTATAAACCTTTGGGTATATACCCAGTAATGGGATCGCTGGGTTAAATGGTATTTCTAGTTCTAGATCCTTGAGGAATCTAGTTTACACTCCCACTAACAGTGTAAAAGTGTTCCTATTTCTCCACATCCTCTCCAGCACCTGTTGTTTCCTGACTTTTTAATGATCACCATTCTAACTGGTGTGAGATGGTATCTCATTGTGGTTTTGATTTGCATTTCTCTGATGGTGAGTGATGATGAGCATTTTTTCATGTGTCTGTTGGCTGTATCAATGTCTTCCTTTAAGAA